GCCCCCGGCCAGGACGAGCTGCAGGCGCGCGTGGAGGCGCGGGGCACGCAGGCCGCCGTCTTCAAGTTCTACCAGTTCCTCAAGTGCCGCCGCGGCTGGGTGGCCGACCTCATCCGCGCGCTGCACCGCAACAACGCGGGCCACCTGGCCGAGGAGCTGCAGCGCGTCTACGACCGCCACCGGCCCCGCGAGCGGCGGCCGGGCCCGGCCCCGGGCCCCGCCGGCTCCCCCGCCGCCAGCAGCGCTCCCGGCCCCTCCGCCTGGGAGCCGGAGGCCGCCGCGGCTCCCACGGAGGAGCGTCCGCACCGGGATGCGACGGTGCTCAGCCGCGAGGAGAGCTCGGCACCCGGCACGACATCGGAACCCGGCAGGGCCTCGGATTCCAGCACAGCTTTGGGTTCCGGCACAACCCTGGGCTCCGGCACAGCCTCCGCACCCGGCACAGCCCCGGACTCCATCACGGCCTCGGACTCCCGGGTCCCGGTGCAGGAATCGGTGAGTGGGCGGCACGTCGGAGGTGGCCGCTCCAGCCATTGGCAGCTCCGGGCTCCTCCGTGAAGCCCTGGGGTCCCGCTCGGCACCGTCTCCCTTTCCCCGCAGCAGCCCAAGGAGCCGGAGCGCCCCGGGGAGGCTCCGGGGCCGGGCTGGCCGGGCCGCCAGCAGCACCCGGTGTGCGTGGCCGGCGGCTACTTCGGCAGCGCGAGGCTCCCGAGCGGCAGCGGCGGCGGCGCGGGCGGCTCCACGGCGGCGCCGCGCCGCAACGAGCCCGAGGAGGTGCATTTCGTGTCCGCGGAGCTGCCGGCCAACGGCGGCCCCCTCCGCATCCAGCAGCAGCTCCAGGCGGAGCAGAAGCAGCCCGGGACGCTGCGGGAGCACGAGGGGGATGGAGCCCCCCGGGATGCTCGCGGAGGTAACATTCCCTGTACTACTCTCACCTCTCTCCTCACCCGCCYGTTGCATCTCCTGCATTAACCTGTTGTGTTTCCTCCCCACCAGGTGCTCGGGTGGATCCAGCCCCTCCGGTTTCTATCCCAGCAGCCGCATCCACATCCAGCAGCTCTTCGGAGGCTCCGGCAGCCAAGGCTGAAGCGCCGGCGGGGCCGGAGGCCGGCGGCGCCCCGTCCCTGCGGCCGCGGGGGGAAGTAGGTGCTCTCACTGTGCCGCGCCGCCCTCCGCGTCTCCTCCACCTTTCCGTATCCCGCAGTCGTGGTTCCCAGGAACCTCCTGCCTTGCTGGAGACGAGGTGGGAGGCCCTGTCCCTGCTGCGAGGGCGCCGCTCTTGTCTCCCAAAGGTGCATCCGGCCTCCGCAGACACCTTCCTGGTGAGCCCTGCGGGGACAGCGGACACGGAGCTCAGCAAGCCGGGCGTCCTGCTCTCCGTGATGGGGCTGGACGGACACCCGGCCTTCCCAGTGCCCAGCGGTCCCTACTCGGGGGACTCCGACCGCCTGCAGATCAGCAGCGACCCGCTCATGATGAGCACGGATGACTCCCTGCCTCCAGCGCCTCATGCCGACCCTCGGGAAGAGCAGGGAACGGGAGCGAGATCCCGCCCGCCTCCGGACTGGGATGAAGCTTCCCTGCGCACCCACGAGCTCCAGGTAGAGCATTGCCCCAGTGTCCCCCTGGGAGCACCCCTGGAGGGAGACGCTCCCTTGGGAGACCCTGCAGCTTCGGCCACGAGCGGGTCCAGCAGGTCCCAAGGCAGAGTTCCCCCGGGGGACGTCAGGGGGGACGTGTCCTCCTCGTCATACGTGGCGCCAGCCRTGGGCGTCGCGCTGCTCTCCGCCTTGGCTTTTCTGGTTTACAGCCGACTGCAGAAATAGCCCTGGAGCAGAGAGAAAAGGGGATGTTGCTGCCAGCGCTCGCCCCGTGCGATTCCTCTTTGGGGCAGGAGTTCAGCCAGAGTGCTGGAAACCTGAGGGGCCTCCCTGGAAGGTTTTGCTGGAAGAGGCCTTGGCTGCCTGGTGCTGTTGGGCTTGGTGGGTTCCTGCTTCCCTGTCCTTGTCTTGGCCGTTCTCCTGGTGGGGTCGCAAGGGGAGCGATCCCCTGAGTTGGAAATCGAAGCCTTCCTAGTCATTGCTCAGGTCTCCCTTATTAAGCCCCCAAAGACCCCAGGGAGATGTTTCCTGGTGGTCCAAAGAGTGGCTTTCCAGGTGCCAGGAAGAGTTTTGCCTACGTCCTGAAGGAGTGGAGCCGATTTTGTTGGCTCTGCTCAGCCCTCTTGACTTGAGAATGTGCCCGAGGGCCTGGGCAGCCCTCACCAGGTGCCCAACCTCACGTTTGCCTTAACTTCCACCCTCCCCGGGCCATAGCAGTGTCTCCTGCTGCCGGGAGGATCTAGCGAAGCAAAGTTAATGGAAAGGGGAAGCTCGGCGTCTCCAAGGGGCTTCCCGTGGTGGGAATGCGACAGGACAACCCACATCCGTGCTTTTGCTTGGAGCATCCTGCCTTTCCCTCRTGGCACAGGGTCTGTTTAGCTCCGCTGTGTCCAGCCCGCCTAGGAGCCCACGGTAGATGTGACAGGATCTGTGAGGTTGTGACAACCTTATAGATCTATAAGGTTGTGACAACCAACCATCTGCATGTGAGGAGGAACTTCCCTGGGAGGGTGCCCGAGCCCTGGCCCAGGCTGCCTAGGGAGGCTCCTGCTCTGGAGATCTCCCAAACCCGCCTGGATGYGCCYGGGTGCCCCGTGCTCTGGGTGTCCCTGCTTGGCCAGCAAGGTTGGATTAGATGCTCTCTAGAGGTGCCTTCCAATCTCAACCATTCTGTGATTCTGTAACCAAACTGCCAGAGTTTGGTAGGGAAATCTCCCCAAATTTTTACACCTTCTCAAAGACCAGTGTTTGTTACCGGGTGCCATACTGAAATGAAGCAGAAATCAAAGCAGAAATTGATAGCAAATATCCATACTGTGAAGCAGGGAGTATTTGACCCCGTGTAGCCACATTGCGGAACTTGTCACAAATTTTAGCCCTCTAAAGCGAGGGAATGGGTCTTCTCCACGTGCTTCTGCAGGATTCAGAGGACGGAGGTGAGATCCGAGACCAACAGTATCCGCACCAAGGCCCTCTTTACTTTTTTTTTTTCTTTCTTTTAAACATTTAATGCATTTATTTCCACTACTTTTTAGCAACGGACACACTGTGCATCTACATTGAATCACTTGCAAAGCACTGGATTTACCACTGATCTGGACTTCACAAAAGTGTGTTCAATTTTCTCTCTATTTAGTGTGAAACGTTGGTATTTTTAGAGATGCATCATGGCATTTTGAAAGCGTAATCAGCAGGAGAACCTGCGGGAGGGAATTGTGTCCCTGCAAATCTATTTTAAAAGCCTTTTGCGAAATATGTAATAAAATTGTTGGTGATTTAGCACTTCACTTGTGAGGTTGGCATATGTGTGTTTAAGTTTGGGGGTGCAGGAGGAGAGGAAAACTTGGCTTTTCACACCTCTGCGGAGCTAAGAAAGGTGTTAGGTGGCTCTCAAGTGGAAGCCGAATGCAGAAATAAGTCCTAACATAAATTATATAATTTAATTCTGGTTTTAGAAGCCAGAAGGACTGCAAAGGAGGCCACAGGGGATTAAAAGGCCTGTCCTCTCTTTTTGGGGGGATTTTATTCCAGCTGATGCAACTTGGTTTTCCCATCAGGGAGAGATATTATTAAATATACTAAATAATGGAAAAAAATGKTTTTTTGTGCAGTTTCACGTGTGGCCGTGGGAGGAGCCTCCGGCCGTGGTTGCCCAAGAGGAAACGGGCGAGTTCACGCGGGTTCGTGGCCCTGGGAGCGGGGCCAAGCGCTGCACRGCGCTGCTTCGTGTCCTGTTGCTGTGTTTTGGGGAGAAACCTGCCGCTTTTGGGCCTGCCCCGAGGGCTCTGCTGTGAAGAGCCCCCTTGCCCCGGGCTCTCCTCCCCTGCCCCGCAACCCATGAAATAGGAAACACTTAAGTGATGTCCAAACACTTAAGTGATGTCTGTTTTATAAGGGGGAGGGTCCCTGAGGAGCAAGGCCTCGCTATTTGCATATGCAAATCGTATGCAAAGCAGCCCCTCGGCGCTGCCCCAGCGGGCCCACTGCAGTCTCCCTTCGGCCCGCCTCTGCGTTGCCACAGTGACCAGGCCTGTCACTCAGCTCGCCTTCCCCCGCCCCGCCGGGTGGCATCGCGGCATCTCATTGGACGGATGAGTGTCACTCTCCTCCCCAAGAGAAGCGATAGGCCGGAGCCGTAATACATTCAGCCCGCCCCTCGTGGACTTCAGCCCCCCCTCCCCGCTCTAAGTGCGCGCAGCCCATTGGCTGGCCGCGCTTGTCAATATCCGCCGGCGAGCGGGAGGGGCGGGCGCGGCGCTGCGCCTCTGCGCAGCCCTCCCCTCCTATTGGCGGCGCCGCCTGCCGCTCCGTGCGGTGGAGCGCGCGGATTGGTGGCCGCCCTGCGGGCCGCGCCCGCCCCCGCGGTCCGGGGAGCGCGG